CGCGGCTCGGCTGTCAGAGGGGTCTGAAAACTGCCCCATCGCTGACCCCAAAGGCCGAGCTCCGAGGTCCAGGCGCTGGACGCGACACATGCCTGTTGAAAGGGGGCGGTGAGAAGCCCTGTGAGATCCCTGTGGTTTGTGGGGGAGCTGAACTGGATATCCTGTCTATGATTCACCCAGGTCATCTGCAGAGCAAGGATGGTTTCTGCTGTTAGTTTATAACCACACTTAAGAAAAACACAGCCACATACCGCCGTCCAGCCCTTCCACCTCCTCATCCATACACGAGCAGCTCAACCATAGCCTCAGCAGTGGGACCATCTGCCCTGCCCCAAGCGTTTAATGTTCACGCTGCCTTCAGGAGAGCTTTCCAAGCGAAAGCACAGTTTCAGTGCAGACACACAGAATTGAAAACCTGGCCCGTAAACTGTCCTTTGATGAGCTCTGACACTAGAGGTAGGAGTGTGACGATTCTCCCCTAAAGTTGTTTTCTCCTCGCTGTGATTTTTTTCGATGGTAGGATATGGGTTCTCAGGATCTCGTGCAGCCAGTGGGATGAAACACGGCTTTACTTAAGACAGGGATTTCAGCTCCCGGCCAGGCTGAGGCAACGCTGCCCAGGCTGCTCCCTGCAGGCTCCGGCCGCTTAAGGCTTGGCCCTGACAGTGGCTCACAGCTTTGCGTGTTTTGGAAAACGAGCCATTTCGCCTGTTGCTTCTGACAACTTGAGCCTGGGTGACTTTCCCCGACTCAGCCTGACGCTCAGGGAGTCAGGTCTGAGCCGACGGGGGTCCCCGCGTGCAGTCTGCCTTTAGCACGTGTCAGCACAAACCTGAACCTTGAGACCTCAGCAACTGGAGACCCTTTTGTGCCCCGACCTGTCCCCTCCAAAGTGGACGGATGATGCCTGCTAGGAGGGGAGCGTGCTGTGGACGAGGGGTGGCACAAGGGGATTAGCTGGTACTGATTAACCAGAGCTCTGCAACTGATCTTCTCTGGTGGCAAGTCCAGTCTCTACTCTGCCAGCTAAAGAGATTCCAGACTCCTCTTGTCCAAATTCCTGACCCTGTTGTCCTCACGGACCCAAAAGACCTCCCCCCTCTCCTTGCTGAGGTCCGTAACTCTCGAGGGCAGAAGGACAGAGTTCAGGCAAAGGAGAGATTGTTGGACAACTCTCCCTCCCTCTTTGTGCCTGGCTGCATTTTCTTCCAGACAGCCCCTGGTATCTCTCCAGAGCTAAACATGACCTGTGGACCAAATTAACCCAGTACAAGTGCTGCTGGGCCATTGCTTGCCCTGGACTTGCTGCCTTCTGAAGCGAGAAGGTTGGCTAACGCCGGATGCCTTCAGAGCCAGCGGCATCCAGCTCACCCTTCAGTGCTTTTGTGAACACCCGTAAATTGTTGAGGACTTCAGCAGAGTTCCCAATATCTAAACAAAGGACTAACCAGGGAACCGAGAGTTTATGCAGCCCTGATTTTTGGCTGTGAGATAGAAACATTAGACCCTATGATATAATGAGTCAGATTCTCATTTCTGTTAATAACCCACAGCACTGTTCTGGCAGTGTAAGCCAGCAATAAATCAGACGTGAATTCATTCCCATTTGGAAGCCCTTCCGCCCTGCCAGAATACTGCTAAGAGGTGGGGCCGTAGCATAAATATGAATCTGGCCTAGAGAGTCTTTTTCTACATGTTACCCCTCCAAGGGAGCCATCATCCTTGGGATTCGCTAACACAGTGTGTTTGCTCCATCGCTTCATCTGGCAGGTCATGAAATGTGCTATGTGAGCCAGAAATATCAGAAAATCACAGAAAAATAAGGATGGAAGTCCTTAGTCTACTCCCAGTGCTCAAAGAGCTAATGAATCATACCTGGAGGATTTTTGAGAGGCATTTGCCTGGCCTATTCTCGAAGATCTCCAATGATGTAGAGGCCACATACTCCCCGAGCAATCTAGTCCAGAGCTCAGCTTATCCTTACCACTAATGTCTATGATTAAGCCTTCTTGCTGGTATTCAAGACCATGATGTCTAGTCCTAGCTGTTAGGACACGCAAAATCAAGTATTACAACCTCTTTGCAATAGCCTTGCTGTTTTTGAGGGAGGTCATCTCATCTCCTCTTCATGCTCTCTGTTTCATATTGAAAAAGTGATTATTTCAGTTTCCCCCCCCCATGAAGTCACACCGCTCCTGAAATCTGGACAGAAGTGACTGGGAACCCCAGGAATGCATCTGCAGTTGTTAGGATTTGAAGGCACTTTTGACATTCCCAGTTGTGCTGTGAAATCCCGGCCCTCCTGTGCTCCTTCCTCACTAGCACATGCAAAACATAATTTTCGCTGTTAGGTGGAGGAGAGAATTCTGTCAGAGCCAGAATAATGGTCTAGAGCCCGAATTATCCCGTTCCAGTTAAAAATAATACAAAACATCCACCAGCTCTGGTAGAAACTGAACTCGAAGTGAAACACGGCTTAGAAAGTGTCTAAGGGATGTGCCCTTCTTCACCCTCAGCTCATTTTTGATGCCAGCGTGCAATACTCTGGCTTGACACCAACCCCACCACTGCGGACCCACCTGCTGGGACCCAAACCAGCTTGCACTTCCACCACGAAGAGCAGAGAGCCTCCAACCACCTCTGCTTTACATGCAGCTCAAGCTGTTAGTATTGCCCCTGGCTGGGCAAGACACAGAGACTCACCAGTCCATTGCAGTTACTGATGGCGACCTTGGAGTTCAGGTACTGATCCTGCAAGTGACCCGCGTAATGGCAGTCCTCGTGGAAATCATGTTGCCAGTCCACGCCATCCCGCTTCCAGTATTCGACGGTGAAATGCTCGGCCAGCAGGTTGGAGTGCAGCGTCAGGTTGAGGAGGAACTGGGTTCGGTGGGCAGAGACTTTGTAGAAAACCTGCTGCTCGGATGGCTCGTAGGGCAAGGAGCCCAGGCTGCGCCGAGGACGTTGCTTCAGCTGGCTTCTCACGTCAAAGGTGAGGAAGTCACCGTTTTGGTCCACTTGGATGGGGAACGCGATTTCATAGTGATCGAGGCTGGAGAGGAACTCCTCTGGGGAGGGAAAGCAAACACAGGAGGAGTGACATTCTGCAAAGAGAGTGAAACCCCCAGCGACCTCAACACAGAGCTGGCTGCCCCTGAGTCCCCGTGAGCCAGGTAGAGGGACAGGGACCTGACACTGGCTCTTCTCGGCCCAGGCTGCAGGATCTTTGGGGCATTCCCAAAGACCTTCAGCCTACAGAGCCTCAGGGTACCAACACTCCTTGAGCCTACAAAGCATAATCTTCTTCCTCTGCAGGTGATGGAATCACAGAATCATTGAATCATAGAACACTTTCAGCTGCAAGAGACCTTGAAGATCATTGAGTCCAGCCTTTGTCCCAGCCCTACCAACCCACTAAACTATGTCCCCCAACACAACATCCGCCCGTCTCTTAAACCCCTCCAGGGATGGGGACTCAACCCCCTCCCTGAGCAGCCTGTTCCAATGGCTGACAGCCCTTTCAGCAAAGAAATTCTTACGAACACCCAACGTGAACCTCCCCTGGTGCAATTTAAATCCATTTTCCCTCGTCCTATCACTCTCCACTAGTGAGAACAGACCCCCCTCCCCCTCCCCAAAAGGAAAAACAGCCCACCCCCCGCCTCTCTACAACCTCCCTTCAGGTAGTTGTAGAGAGTGACAAGGTCTCCCCTCAATCTCCTCTTCTCTAGGCTAAACAGCCCCAGATCTGGTCCAATGGGCCATCCAGGACACTCAAATTCTGGCTCTGGACATGGACTCTCCCCATCTTTCCATTTCCACCGGGCAGAGGGACTCTAGGTTGTGCAGAGTCCCACTCTGTGGTTTGGAGGCTTAGTTTAACCTGGATCCTTCCAGTAACAAAGCCAGCAATAAGGTCTCTTCAAAACAAGCCAGAACAGGACTTGGGGTGACAATGTCTTAGGAGAAACCAGTCTCAGTAAAGAACTACGAGGTTCTTCAGAACAGCTGCAGCTGCCACGTGCGCCTGTTAGCTTTGCTTTGATAACTCATATAACAACAGCACCACACCAGCCTCCCTGATTACAGCCACATCAGGGCATCAGGTATTAAGCACCCTCTTAAGAGGCACAAAGACAGTGTCCTTGCAATGCCAATCTTGCAATCAAAACCAGAATTCCCCCGCTGTGCTGAAAAGGCAGGAAGAAAAGAAGCCAGACACCCCGATTCCCTGGACAGGTCTCTATCTCCGACACCATCCCGCCTTTCCAGCTCACCAGCTTGGTGCTCTTTATCGGATCAGCCTGGCTTAGCACCTTCTCTTGGGGCACTTGGGTTTTTGAGCCCATCTCATAGCACTTAGGAAATGTGCTCTGACAAGGTCACCATCCAAAACATCTGCCTGCGCTCACAGTGGTAACACGACACTTCGGGCTGTCAAAGAAATTGGCACTCTGCAATCTCGACGGAAATTTTGTGTTTTTGAAGCAAAATGTCACAGGGACTGTCAGGTTGGAACTGACTGGAAATCTAACTGTCCCTGACAGCCCTCAGTACCAGCAGAAGATGTAAAAAACCAAATCATGCACTGGACAGGACAGCTCCCCCCATCACAGCGTGCTCTTCTGAACCCCTCCCGGCTGGAGGTTTGCTCCTGGAGTGGGAGAGGATTTGCCCTCTTTTTACTCTGGAAGATTCTGCATCCTATTTGCAGCTGTTTCCTAAGCAAATGGGAGCGGCCAGGCTGCTGCGGGGTGGCTGTGCTTCGCCTGGCTCCACAGCACCCATGTTCAAAGCCTTCCCAGACACCATAAATTTGGACTCCAAATTACACTCTTACCACATGGCAGCACTGGAAAGTTTCCTTTTCCTCTAGTGTGTTTTCCAGTGTGGGAGTCTGACCGAGTGGTTTCTTTGGCCACTGGTAACGGGACAGTCCTTCCCACCAGCTGGGTTTAGGGGTTACATCCCATCCTTCCAAACCATAAGCACTTCTGGCACCTCTCCCTTGTCTCCCCAAGCCAGAAATAATTATTAGTTTTTTCACTTCCTGTGCTTTCAGCTTCTTCTGCATCAACACCGCCTCGCATGTGATGCAGGCTGGCAAACAAGGGTGACTATTTGCACTTAAGCAATGACCTCAGGCTTGGAAAAATTTGCCATCGGAAGTGTCTTGTTTCTCTTTTTCCCTCTGCAGTCCACATGGACTTGCAAAACAGTGACTCGGAAGGAGCCTGCAGTGGCTACAAAGGATCTGGGACCCTGGGCTGCAGTCTCTGATCCTGATCTGCAAGGTATGGCCAGGAGGATAAAAAAAAGAAAAAGCATCCAGAACCTGGGGGTGAGGTTTTACGTGAGAACCTGCTCTTCTTACTGTAGTGCCAGTTGTGCATTTTCTCAGGGAAGTCGCTCTGAAAAGCAAGACACAAGAAGAAAGATCTAAAAGCGATGCCCTGCATCATGTGAATGTTTTTGGAAGCGACGCTCTAGAGTGGGGACAAATGGAAAAAATAATAAAGAGAGACTTGCACCATAAATAAGAAACCAGTGTCCTCACCCAGTGCTACAGCTGATTCCTTCCTCTCTGCTAAAATTATAAAAGATTAGATTAAACTCTAAGATAGTGGGATCTCTTTTACTACTTAACCCTGTCTAGTCCACCCGACGCCATAGATGTCCCCTCATTTGCTCACAGAATCCTAGAACAACTCAGGTTGGAAAAGACCCTTGGGATCATCGAGTCCAACCATTAACCCTACACTACAAGGTCACCCCTAAACCACATCACCCAACACCACATCTAAACGACACTTGAACACATCCAGGGATGGCGACTCGACCCCCTCCCCAGGCAGTCTGTTCCAGGGTCTGACCACTCTTTCTGTGAAGAATTACCTCTCTTTCCGTGAAGAATTTCTTCCTAATGTCCAGCCTAAATCTGCCCTGTTGCAACTTGCAACCATTCCCCCTGGTTCTGTCCCTAATTCCCTGTGAGAAGAGACCAGCCCCAACCTCTCTACAATGTCCTTTCAAGTAATTGCAGAGCTTCCCTGCCTTGGCGATGCTCTCTGTATCACAGACCATGCTCGGAGCTCCCAGCAGCAGGAGCAGCACAGTTGGGACCTTTCCTTTTCCCTTTCAGAAGAGCCCCCACGTGCCCTCCGACCTCTCAGCCACTTCAAGCTGTATTAATAGATCTTGGCCTGAAATGCACAGCACTGCAGCCCCTCTATCAGAAGGGTTGGTACTGCTGATAAGCAGCCTCGTGTTCCCAGAGAGCTGTCAGACGGCTTCAGCAGAGATACTATAAAAAGCCTTTCTCCAGGAAAACCTGCCCATGGCTACGTGGGACACTGCACATCCCTGAAGGACCACAGACCTCCCAGGAGAGGGAAGGGGAGATAGCTGGGAAGCAGGAGGGATGGAGTGTGGGGAAGGGTACCTTGCTGCCCCATTTTTGGTGGAAGGGAAGTATATGTATATATATATCTGTATGTATCTATTTCTATTTCTATTTCTATTTCTATTTCTATTTCTCTATTTCTTTCTATTTCTCTATTTCTATTTCTATTTCTATTTCTATTTCTATTTCTATTTCTATTTCTATTTCTATTTCTATTTCTCTATTTCTATTATTTCAATTTCATTTCCATTTCTATTTCATTTCCATTTCTATTATTTCTATTTCTATAGTGCCTATCACCATACTGATAAACATGGAAACATTCTGCAGACGAAGGGAAAGGCCACAGGGGAGGCAGAGGGGTACGCTGAACAAAAAGAAGAGAGGGAAGCTAAAGGTGGAGGAAGAAGGATTCTGAATGCTCGCCATCGCCTCGCTCATTACCAAGCTGCTTGAAGGATGGAAAGGAAGCAGATATCTCCTCAGGTCTTGTCACCAGAGCAAAGACAAGGCTCAGCTGCAGCCCAGAAAGGATTCCTAAGGGCTGGCTGTGGAAAACACCTCGGGATCCCATGGCTTCAGGCTGCCCTGGCATTGTGGCAGCCTCACTATGTCCTCCAAGGGTCCATCGGGCTACGTGTGAGCAGGGAGATCAGCCTCACCTGATGGTCTATAAAACAAGGGATTGTCTAATCCACTACTACAGCTAAACCAAGGCACTAGAGACCCCACCTCGAATACTGCGTCCAGTTCTGGTGTCCCCACCATAAGAGGGACGTGGATCTGTTGGAGCGTGTACAGAGGAGGCCACAAGGATGATCCAGGGGCTGGAGCAGGCCTGCTACGAGGACAGGCTGCGGGAGCTGAGACTGTTCAGTCTGGAAAAGAGAAGACTTCGGGGGGACCTAAGAGCTGCCTTCCAGTACCTGAAGGGAACCTACAGGAAGGCTGGGGAGGGACTTTTTGCAAGAGTGTCCACTGATAGGACAAAGGGAAATAGGTTTAAGTTGAAGGAGAATAGATTTAGATTAGACCTTAGGAAGAAATTCTTCAGTACGAGGGCAGCAAGACTTTGGAATAAATTGTCCAGAGACGCTGTGGCTGCCCCCTCCCTGGAGGTGTTCAAGGCCAGGTTGGA